ATGGCCTCCAACTAGAAGCGATGGCCTCCAACCTAAAAGCGATGGCCTCCAACCTAAGAGTGATGGTCTCCAACCTAAGAGCGATGGCCTCGAACCTACTGCATGCAGAGGATGTTCACACATGTTCACACATGTTCATCGAATGGCGTTGGGGTGCTCTTGGCTTCTAGCGACCCGCTTTCAAGGACGACGTGGTTCTCTCCCTCACGGTGGTGATCGACTATGGCCCAGTAGCCTGGGGGGCGCTGGGCGGATCCTGGGTGTGTTGGGGAGACTGAAGACTCTGGTGAGAAAATTCGCTGATCGCATCTGATTGCTAATGTGAGATCATGTGACAAAGGACATCAGGTCCAGGCAGTGTTTGGACGGATCTCAGGTCGTTGTCTTATTTTCCTGGGACGAGCTGAACAATCGCACCAGCCCAAAGTGTGGACATCGGCTTCCGGTCATTGAGTGGTGCCAGTATACCCCAAAGACACCTTGTATGTCCGGTCTTTTCCCGAAACTTCCGGATATACTCGCACTCAAGCAGCCTTGATGAATTCGTAACTCTTGTGGTGAAACCAGCATCGTGCACCACTTGGCGTCTTTGCCTCCGCACTGCTCAGCCATCGGGGTGAACCTTCTCTTCCGGAATGCACCGGAGCAGGTGCGCGGGAGTGTGCGAAATCGCGCTTGGGTTGGATCGACATGGGTGGACGATGAATTTTACATGCAGTGTTTCAAGCGGGGTGTAAACTTGCGTTGGCAGGGAGTACGTAGCATTTTGATGGATTTTGCGATGGTAGAAACCCCAGGGTTGATGATGGGTCATTGTGTTTTTGGGTTGTGCCTGGTTTTTTCTTCCCGATCACACTGTTTCAGGCAGATTTGATCTGTATACTGTATACTGAAAGCGGTAACATAGTGGTGGCGGTGGTATATGAACATGAATGGATTAACACCAATTGCTCAAGCGGAACCAGGGGCCCATTTACTTTCCGTTCACGAAATGTGGACAAGGATCACCTTTCTGATCACTTTTCTCGAACCATTCCTTCGTGAGGAAGGAGCACTGGTGCACATCTTCGCTGGCATCGGCTTGCCGGGATGCGGAGGAGGATGGAGGGATGGAGGGATCAGCGTCGAATCGATTCTCGATGTTCGACTTTCTGCTTAGTTCGTCTTAGAAAAGGACGCTACTAGGTGCTCCTGGCCTTACTACTAACAAGAAGCTATTAGAAACAAGAAATACAATTAGAAACAATAAGCTACTAGGAACAAGTGCATCGCTTCTAGTAACAAGTGCCTTACTAGTAG